TACTATGTGAATAATATTTTAAAGGTGTAGTGTATAATATTTAGAGGGATCCTTTAGCAGTAATGGGTTATAGTATACAAAACCATGTTTTCTTTACTGCATAGTCACCTGTAACAATGAATCGTTGTGTTTTCGTTAGCTTAGAATGAGTCCTTCATATCTATAATGGAAGCAGGTCCTCTTCCAACAGAGGCCACCATGTTGCGGCTCCAAGTTTCTACAGTAGCCCAGAACGGGCAAACCAAACACTGGCTCAGGAGAGCGCTTTTCATGTTTTTACGTTGAAGGTGTAGCTTGAATTTGATGCTGCTGTAGCACCAGTTGGAAGACGTGGACAGAAGAAGAGTCAGTAGTTGCTGCTGGTGCTGGCAAACCATTTTGTGTAGTGAGAAGCTTGAGAACTCAAGAAAAAGCAAAGGAGGGTGAATCCTCGTCATCAAAGAAGTGAAAACATGATGACCACCGTAGGTTCTACTACACACTTGGAAAGGGAGGGGTGAGGGAGGGGTATTCAGTTGCAATCTGCAACCTCACAGCTAGATGCCGCTAAATCTTATTACCTGAGAAAAGGTACGCTATTAGACATGCATACCGTTAGCTTTTAAGTGTACAGACCATTAATACTGATACAGATTTAAAAAAATCAAACTACACCTTTCAGAAAATGTATTGTGAAAATAGTAAATCAATACACAGGTCACTGCATAGTCATACTTTCTACCAGAGGACCCCCCCACCAAGACCACTGCCACAATTCAAACCCTGATTGTACACCCCCATATTCAATAGTCCGTCTCAATCTCAGCTCCCGTCCATCTATCTCTTTCAGTCTGTTCACTTCCTATTTTCTGTTTCTCACTGTGTTTCCTGTCTATGTCTCTCTCTCTTTCTCTGTCTGGAATATCTCTGACTTTCCAGGCGTCACATTAGCTTTCGGTGCATGTATGCGACTGATAGAGAGCGAATGAGAAAAGAAGTCGGAGAGAGAGTGAGTGAGAGACACGTACCTGCACTATTACAAATAGCAGTCTACATCAGCCTCGGGCAGAGCCATTACTGCAACAGCAGGGAATGCTGGCTAGAGCTGACACCAGAGTCCACACACACACACACACACACACACACACACACACACACACACACACACCCCATTACACAAATCCATATTGCATTTATATGACTGTCCCAACCAATCTATGCACTCACATAGGCAGATAATGAATGTTAGATTCTGGGTATTTAATAATGACAATTTGCTGCGGGGTTCTCCAGCACGGCTGCGGGAGACGTGGCCTCCTGCAGAGTTTAGCTCCAGCGCTAATCTAACACACCTGATCGAGCTAATCAAGGTCTGATATCGCATCTGAGTTATTTAGGGCGCGTATGCTAGATCAGGTTTGGAAGTAAACTCTGTGGGATGGTAGACGTCCAGGAATCAGTGGAAAGAACAGATGTTTAAATGATGGTTATAGTCTGGGCTTTTTGATGCATGCTGTCATATGCAAACGTTTGAGCAGCCCTAGTCAAATGACATATTTTGTTGACTTTCTAAATTAACTTACAGCTCTCTACAGAGAACACACTATTGCACAATTTAATACACAATTACTGTTTATTCGCTGTATTTAACGTAATGGGAAAATTATTAAAACATGAAATGTGGCCTGTGTGAAAGTCATGGCACATTTTATATTTTAGGTTTTTTTTCATGATAAACAGAAATTATGCACTAAAAACCATTTAAGTTTGTTCCCTGTAGAGAATGTTTACTCACTTACTAAATCAACAAAACGCCATTTGACTGGGGGAGTCCAAGCTTCTGCATACAGCTGTATATCGCTGCTGTCAAAACCTCATATCTCCAAAATACTAACTTAACAGGAGAAGGAAAAAACATACTTTCCTTCCAATGTAAGTCAATGGAACCAGACTTTTTCCCAAGTAATTTTGGGCCATTTCTTTTGGTCCATTCATCATGAAATGTATACACAATGTAAAAGACAACTGGCATTTTCAAATATGTTCCGACAGCAACATTACGTTTTATTTCCATAAATATGTAGGCATATATAGGAAATATAAGGAAAGGTAATTTCTTTGGATTTCATTTACATAAAGGTGTCGGAAAAGTTACAGTTTTCGGGCCCTGTTTGTCCATGAATGTACACGTTTATAAGGTAATATTTCCCAAGGCAGGGATGTCAAACTCAACCACTAAAAGAGCCATATTAAAAAATCTCAACAAATCTGTGGGCTAGAGAACACCTAAGTTTTATTTAATTTTAAATTAACATGCTATAAACCAAACTGACCATTGCTTGTTCAAAATACACAAAAACATCAACAGTAAAATATCGGCACTTGTAGTAGACCTTGAAATAAAGACCATGAATACTAGAAATATTCAAATTTTTAATTTCCCCAGGAGCTCAGTCTTTTAAACCTGTTTGCTTGAACTAGACATCTGGCATACTTGGGCTCAATTTCTGAGCTGCTGAGCTAACGTTAGGTTTTTATATAGGCTGAACTGCCGTCAGTTATTTGGTGATATGACTGGTGTGGAATTGTGTAGAACTGTGTAGAACTGAGGTTCTTGTTGGTGGGAGAGTCAGAGCACATTATGTTGCGGTGCATGCTGGGGACTGTAGTGCATTGTGAAACAAGCTAATATTAATAAAAAAAAATTAAAAATACTTTTGTGGGCTGGATAGGATTGTGTGGGCCTTATAATATATAAGCTAACATGTCCTGCAGTTATAGCTACCCTTATAGTTATGTGTGTGTGTTGAGGGAGTGGTGGGTGTGTCGTCTGTGTGTGAGTGTGTTCTCATGCCAGAAATGTAACCCCGATTAGAAACAGACTAATTTCCTGTCACGCAGTACAGAACAATCTATTGGAATTGCGGCGGCAGAGAGATTTTACACCAGTGGAGTGTTTTGCCCTTTTTCTTTCATTCCGGCACGACTGCATTTTCCTCTTGGGAAATGGACTACGCATTCATTTCACACAATGTTATTGTGCTCTGAAGCGGCGAGGGAAGAAAAGGAGCAGAAAAGTATTGTTTTTTTGTTTATTTGCTCAATACTTTTCTCACCTCGACACGATGGAAGAGTAATAATGCATTAATATCTGAAAAAGCGCAGTTCTGTCGTATGCTCGGGTCACGAAAACCATCTCAAACCGGTGTGAAAACTAATTCTCAAACACTCTTTGCTTTTCCTGTCCTGTGTGTGAGCTTTTCTTCAGCTGGATGCACAGACTGATGGAATTGTATTTTGTTAACCCTTAAAGACTTGTAGGAGTTGCTATTGTCATTTTGCTGCACATTAAATTTAACTTATGTAGTTATATTATATTAATTGCACTTGCATAAACACTAGAGCTGTAAAACTATTAAAATAATTCATTGTGATTAATCAGATTTTGTGTTGTTAATCGTTATTAATCGCATTTGTCGTGTTTGCTAAATTTTTCCTAAAAAGATTTTTTTTTTTTAAAAAGCAGTTTATTTTATAATGGCTATATGAGCGAACAAAAAATTAAGCCATTAATTTTGACAGCTCTAATAGTCATGTAATCAATGACTAAGTTAGTTACATAATTAATTACATTTACATTCACTTTACAGTCTGTATTAAAGGGCCCATGTTATGGAAAACCACACATTAGCCCACATTGCTATTTTAAAATGTAAGTTTTGAAGCAGTATGTAAATATGGTATCATTTTAAAATATAATATCCATGTCCTTATAGTTTACATATGGATATCAAGCTGCAAAAACAGCCCATTGAGGGTTTTTTTTTTATTTTATTTTATGAAAAGCAACACATCTATCTGCCTATTCAGCCTACAGCAGTTCAGCCCTGTTCAGTTATGAGGAGTGTTTTCGTTTTTCAGTTTGAAAATACCTGTTGCCCTTTACATTGTCTATAAATTTCATGATGAATGGACCAAAAGAAATGGCCAAAAAATGACTGACAATGGTTCCATTGACTTACATTAAAAGTATAGAAGGCTTTTTGTTCTCCTGTAAACTCATAATTTGAGATACAAGGTTTTGTCCCGACAGCAGCGATATATCAGTCTTAAAGGCACAGAAACAGCCTGTTTAATTCTAACGGTTAAAAAGAGGGGGCAAAGTGGTCATGTAAAAATGAACTATGACTCTTTTTGGGTTCATAAGCCCACATAAACATTATAAGTATGTAACGCAGGGTTGACGAACCAGACACTCACAGATATAAAATAAACTGTAAGGTTTATTAAAAGGATGATTAACCAAATGAACAGGGTTTACACCAGACCAGGTCAAAAACCAGAACAGCAAAACATGATACATGGGAGAAGGCAGAAACCGAAGTAGATGAACAAGCGTAAAAACCAGTGAGCCAATACAGGAAATCTTAGCCAAAAGGATAAATGAGTCACCAACAAGAAACAAAACAAGATAATAACAGAATATCTAGCAAAACAGGAGAACAGCTTGGTTTACACTGACAAAACAGAGGCAATACTTTGCAATGAATGAAACAAACAGACAGGTGTATATATACAAGAGGGAACAGGTAAAAGCAATTAGTATTCTGGTGACTGAGATCTGATGACTGGTAGATGATTGGCTGGTTGGGTCATGTGACTGACTAATGCATCTTGGGAGTTGGAGTCCATAAGAGAATTAGAGTTTGTCTGAGTGCCGGGAAGTGTGACAAAGTGAAAAATAAGTACAAGAAAATATATAAGATATAGGCCCTTTAACACAGAATTAAATTGAATGTTGTGTCTGCACTTCTATCTTTTCACATACAATAACTTTTTTTTTTAATTCAGATCATAATACAGTATTTTCTACTTTCAAATACAAATGTGTACCAATGGATTAAAAGTTTAGAATCTGCACTTTCAACAAAATTTCTGTTTCAGTGAGCTACACGTGAGAAATACGTTTAAAGGAAGGGTTACAGGCAACTTAAAAGTCATTGTCTCTTTCTCTTTCTCAGGACCTGACGGAGGCTAACTCCACCATACTAAGGAGTCAGACGAATACGGCCCGTGTGGATGGCCTCAGGCCCGGGATGATGTATGTGGTGCAGGTTCGGGCCAGGACCGTCGCCGGCTTTGGCAAATACAGCAGCAAGATGTGCTTCCAAACCCTTACAGATGGTAAGAATTATAATGAGACCAAATATCCTCATAAATACGGATGAGGTTTTTTTAACCCTAATCCCACTCCAAGTCTAAATTTAATCTGTATTTAATGCTGATACCAGGTTCCGGATCCATATTTGTATTTTTATAGATGATACAGCTGCACAGTGCATGCTTAAAATTCATTAAAGTAAGTAAAACCAATCAATCAATTTAAGAAAAACAATAGTAGGCTGCCAAGTGCTTTAAAATGGCGTAATGACAAATGTTCATATGATGACTCAATCTCATCTGATGTTTAGTTTGGACTGCCTTTTTTGAGTTGATCACCTAATGGTGTCTTTAATACATAACTTTCATAATTTAATTGTCTAACATGATTAGAATACTTCTTTCTCCTTTCTAATGTTAAACTCAGCACAAATTGTTTAATAGCCACACATAAGGCTGGACTGGGACAGTTGTTCAAGTTGGGAATCATGGCAGGACTCGGGCCACACACATAATGTGTCTGCATGAATAGGTGTTTATTATGGGTTTTATATGTATGTTTAAGGTAATATAAAATACCCTCCATATCTGCCCACTCCTTAATTACCAATAACCTCCATCTCTCACACACACACACACACACACACACTATATATATATATATATATATATATATATATATATATATATATATATATATATATATATATAAAATATTATATTATAAAATGTATCTCAGCGTTTGACTGTTTTACGAGGCTGAAGTTGCTTCTCATTCTCCAGCTTCTTGTTTGAATTTTTCCGTTCCACTTTAAATTCTGACTGAGGCGCCAAATGTAAATGCAGCACCATTTAAGGTGGAACGGGAAAATTAGAAAGAGAAGCAACTTCATCTTCGCAACTGTTGTGTTTGACAGTCTCTCATTGCAGATTTAACTTGCCAGGAATCAACTGCAGTACTTATGAATGTGAATAACGCATCGTTGCTATGTGACCTGCAGCCAATTCTCAGTCATTGGACATCACAGTCCTCTGAATCGTAATCGAATCGAATCGTGAGGTGCCTAAAGATTCCCACCCCTAATATATATACAAATATAAACAGGACTACAGAGACAGTGTGTGTTCACAAGCTGTGCTGTGTTTCATTCCATATATATCAGTGTTCATTGTATATATATCAATGTTCATTCCATATATATCAAAGTTCATTAAATATTTCCTGTTTGGCTTGCCATAATATATATATATATATACACACACATACACAAACACAAACACATACACACACACACACACACACACACACACACACATATATAGGCTTTGTTCCGACAGCAGCAATATATATATATATATATATATATATATATGAAATGCTTTCACAATACAAATGTAATTTTGTCAGTGATGAGACAGAGAGAGATAGAGAGACAAAGACAGAGACATAGAGAGAGACACAAAGACCGAAAGAAAGAAAGAGAGAAAAGGAGAGACAGTGTGATATGAGAGAGAGAGAGATACAAAGAGAGACAAAGAAAGTATGTGAGAAGTAGGGGAAGGGGGCAAGTACACCGAAATGAAAAACCAGTCAGTGCATGAGACGGACGTGAAGCCCAACAAAGCAACCTAACGTGTGCGTGTGCAGTGTGCAGTGTGCCTCCTGGTTGATGATTAATCACATCAGTCTGTAATTGCTGGTAAGCATTCTGGGAAAGCTCTGCTGCCACACACAGCCTTCATGAAAAACCAATTAGCTGAACATTTTGGATGGAGAACAATCGGTGCGTGGACACACATACAAACATAAGCAAGCGTGCACACACACACAGATTCAAGTGTATGCGACAAGCAGCAAGGCAAACAGATGGGGTGATTATGTCTAAATGTGGACTATAAGACCACCCTCACTTACAAAGACATCTATATGTATGTCTGTGTACACAAAGATAGACTGAAGCTCAGCTTAGCCCAATATAAACATTACACACACACACACACACACACACACACACACACACACACACACACACACACACACACTGAAAAACCCTTAAACCCTAGACAAGCAACCCCCCTCACACAGTTATGTATTACTATACTTGTGAGGCCTTACACAGACTCCACTGAAGCAAATGAACTTTATCACTGCCTCTAACCCCACCTGTATCCACTTGGAGGAAAAGAAACATGTAAAACAGTTTCCATAAAGTAAGTGCATGCAAATATCCTGTGGATGAACAAAAAGGATTCATTTGACTCATGGGAAACATGTGCTAGCCTTTCCTAGTGCTGGCCATTTTGGAGAACTAGCTAGTGGGTGTAATTGGACTTGACCAAAACTGGGGAGAAAAGTGCCCTCCCTTCCAAAAAAACAAACAAAAAAACCAAACAAAAAAAATAAACAAACAAAAACAACATGGATTAACTAGCCATCTAGATGATGCTACAACGTATAATGAACTAAACACAGCACAGCTTGTGAACACACACTGTCTCTGTAGTCCTGTTTATATATATAATTGCTGATATATTAAGTTAAAAGACAAAAGATATATGTGTGTGTGTACACAGACATACACATTCACACTTTTTAACATCTCTAGTCCACCTGACTGCATGTCTTTGGACTGTGGGAGGAAACACATGCAGACACAGGGAGAACATGCAAACTCCACACAGAAAGAAGCTTGTGTCACTGTGTCAATTAATAAAATAAATAAAAATTCATTTGAGATATGTATGCATCATATAACTAGACAGAAAAAAGTTTCTCAAATATATCTCTGTAATTTCTCTGTCTGTCTGTCTGTCTGTCTGTGTCTCTCTCTCTCTCTCTCTCTCTCTCGCTCTCTCTCGCTCTCTCTCTTTCTCTCTCTTGTGGTGGTTTGATTAATGATGGTGTACTCTGGTATCTCCTGCCTGTTCAGGCTGCCAGTGCCAGAGAAACACACACAAACGTGGTGCCAGCGACACTGACTAACACACACACACACACATCAGATGGAGGAGGCTGAGCTCTGCAGGTCAGAAACATCCCACAGTCTGCAAATCCAAGGAAGCCAAACATACACACACACACACACACACACACACACAAGAGGAGAGGTGTTCATCAACACTCCGCTCACAGCAGGTGTTAAATATAGCTGTGACTGTTTTAGTAATCTGGGACGCAAACACACTGGGCGAATAAGCAGGCCCTGATTCTGCCCAGCCTGTCGTCCACTGCTGATCACTCCATGCTGCAGACTAAAGGCCACTGCACATGAGACACGTTGCATAGCATCACGTAGCAGACACACCTCAAAGCGCTGCTATACTGGATAGAATGTGTTATGGTAAGCATGCCAGTACACCTCAAGTTCAAGATCATTTTTGCACTGTACTCATAAATGTAAAGAAATAAAACTCAACATAGTTTATTTAAAAGACTGACTGCCTTTCTCTGTGTGTCTACTGTGGCTTTTTGTGCTCTTGATATGGCTTTAATTTAATACAGTAAACTATAGTAAACTAAATGCTGAGCAGTGCGCTGTGAGAACTTGAACAGTGCTTGGAACCACACCTTATTATTCTTATTATGGTCAATTATTGTCATTAATGTTATTAATGAAAGTTATTATTAGCATCCGCAACACAAATATAACCATTTTATTTACTATACAAAACCTCCAGTGAACTCATACATGTGTTCTGAGTTTTATATGTAAAGTGATCATGTTATAATAATAGTAAATCTAAAAAAATATTGGTATTATTGGTACTATTTCAGACTCCTTGGATATTTATCTAGAGTGGTGCGTTTCAAGACAAACAACTCTGAATGTCTTTGTTTACATCTTCATATTAGAATTATGCAGAAATGTTGAAAAATTGGTTTTATTACACACTCTATAACCTAAGAATAGCTCAACCTGTTTGCATTAACCTTTTCAACTCCTTGGAACCACCGGTCATATTCTTCATAACTTTCATATTTCATAAGCTACATTCAAAAGGTGGGTGTCATATGAGAGCTGTAACTGTCTTCTTTCCAGTCAAATAGATGGGTAATGAAATTTTAAACCCTTAGAATAAAGAATTTTTTAATCTACTGAAAGTTGATCCATTTTCCACAAATCTGGGCTATAAACTATAAACAGATGGCGTCTCTTCAGTAATATACTCTGTAAAAAATATTTTTATTGAATTATACAGAGCGTCTAAGACTTTTGGCTTTTGGCAGTAAATTGTCAGCATATAGCAATATGTGTATGATCATAAAACATTTTCTGTTCGTCTGAGGGGAGCTTTTACAAAAAAATAAATACGTAAATAAAATAAAAATTTAGTTATTTCATGCAGTTACTGAATAATTTGCCCTACGATTTGGTCATGTAAATTCAGATGGACAAACCAAAATACACCCTGGTCAGTAGGAGGTTTTTAAAGTCCCTGTAGTTACTGAATAATAAGCCTTGGATTTTAAGTAGTTAAAGCACCAACAGATACGTTCAAAAAGGACCCAAAATGGAGACGGTGCTATATTTTAAGCTTTTAATATATCGGCTGATTCTGCCTTTTAATGTACTCCTCTCTGGTAATATGTGATTTCCAAATGAACTGTGATGTTTCTTTTAAAACAAAATATTAGTTTATGGTTGAATGACATGTTGATTTTTTTTGTTGATGTGAATATAACACGTCTTCTACAGAGAACACACTTCTGCACATTTGTTTAAACATTGTTTATTTACTGAATTTAGCACATTGTGGGGAGAAAAGCATAAAATGTGGTAAAGTTATGGCATCTTTTACATTTAAGTGCTTTCTTCCCCCAATATGTTTAACTCTGCAGATGGATAGAAATTGTGCACTAAAAGTGTCATATTGAAGTTTGCTCCCCGTAGAGGATGTGTTAACTTATTTTCACTCAGAAAATGAACAAATTACATAATTTGACAGGAGTATTCAAACTTTTGCATATGACAGATGAAACACATCAATAATATGCTCTTAGCAACCTGCATTCTGTTCTGAAT